CTGATAAACATAAAATTCCATCAAATCTTTATCTTCAGTAACAGATAATGGGAAATAATGAAAAACATCTATAACTAAATCTACAGAGAGGAAAGGCTTTTCAGCATATTTGTAATGTCAGCCTTATGTGGATAGGACCCTGTGAGGCTTCAGGTGAGCAGAGCCCTTGGAATTTTCTTATCAGAAAGGTAGGGTGGGAAAGATAGAGGAGGGGATAAGAGAACATAAAAAAAGGAAATGGCTGTTCCCTGGTTAAAATACTAAACCTCAGTATACTTTGTTTTATGCTAGGATTACCCAAAAGTATTCATAGTTTTATGAAGTATCTTTTTTTTTTCTAAAGTTTTTTTTGCAATAGGGAGTGTGTACTCACTAGAGAAAGAGGGAAAGTGAGATACCACCCCCCTCGGGGGATGGCTGTGATGTAATCCCTTGTCCATCCTCTTCTCAGGATTTTGAGCACACATACGGAGGTGTGATTATCAAGCCACTGAGCATGTGCCTTAACCACTGCACCACCTGCTGGTGATATCAATTTTGTCAGTATTCTTATAATGCTATTTAAACCACTGGCATTTGTTAAAATCTAGATCTAATAAGGCAGTCTCTAAAACTGGTAGAAGCAATGGGTAATGTCATAAATTATAATCTGGCTCTTTTCCTTAACTTTATCTAGAATAGAGTATTAACATTTAATTTCTTCTCTCATTTTTGAGAAACAATAGGCTTCTAGGATTTCAGTAAAAGTTATTGTTGTTGCTTAGGAACTCCTAGTGTTAAAATGGGAAAATGATGGGTAGAGGCTACTGGCATTAAGTAGACTTGTAGCCGCTTGAACAACTTTGCAAAATGTTGCCTAATTTAAAGAGAAGAGGGAGGCATCTGCCAGACTCTGTCCTTCGTTCTGTCTTCTTCAGTGTTATTTTATTAGTGATATAGAATATTCATTTGTGAAGGACTCAACAGAAAGCTAAAAAAAATCTCGTTAACAGAACTGTGACTAAAATAGTTTTATTTGGGAAAACACACCTAAGTTTAGAAAATTAATTATTTGTATTCAGGTTGGAAACACACTTGGCTTTGATAATATGTTATCAGAAAAAGACCTGGATTTTAATTGACAACAATCTTAATATTAACCAAGGATGCTTTGTAGAATTAAGGTTCTGGCAAAAAGGAAAAGATAGTGAGGTTCATCTGGGGCTGGCTATGTACTTGTTGAACATACAGCTTTTAGGACCTCAACAGAGATGATGGTTCATTAGATCAGTGCAGGGTGCCATGAATCTGCATGCTTATTAAGTACCTCTGATGATTTCAGGGCAGATGTTTTTTCAGAGACCATACTTAGAGACATTGCTTTACGTGTCATGGCTTTTGCTAACATTTACTGTAGTACTGTTCTTTTCTGGTACAGAAGTCAAGGTAGGAGACAAAGACTTTGATGATTTGAAAACACTGCACTTTCATTCTGAGTAGGAAGTTCAGAACAGAGGAATGATTAAAAAAGAAGCAATGATTCAGATTTTTCACAAATGTTGAGGATTGTATAATTACTAGATCAGAAGAGAATTGGTCTGCGTGTGTGAATCTTTTTAAAAGAGTATAAGTGATTTGCGATTCTCTTAGAAATGAGATACTAGATTAGGTAAAACATGGGGCTGAATTTGTAGAATTTGTAAGATAACTTATGAGCTGGTTCTGTGACCTGGTGGTTCAGGCAGCCTGATTCCACATGGCCGACCCTGTAGTTAGAGTCCCAGACTCAGTAGCTTCAGAAACATGTTGGGCACCTGTGCGTGTGTACCCAAATCCTGACAAGATGAAGAAATGGAGAAGGCCTTGTGGTGTGATCATTCCCTTTGAGGGGTGCTTTCTCACTCTCACTTTCCCTCTCTCTGGTGAGTACATGCACCCTCTGGCAAAAAATTTAAAAATAAATAAAAGAGATGATTTTTATGAGTTATGTCAGAACTGATAATAGTCTTCATATAGCTGAAAGCCACAATAATGAGTTTAGTACATGACTACCAGTGTTTTTGAGGTGATACGTATACCTGTCCTAGACATAGGAAATATGAAATAGTATTTTAAAATAATGGTAACAGGACATTTCAAGGATAAAAAGGAAAGATTATTAAGTGAAGAAATTGTTTTTTGTTCTGTTCTTTCATGTTGGATTTATATAGGAGGATCATACTTCTCAGTTTATTCAGGATAGTCCTGCTGTTCTGATTTAATTATTAATGGTGACTTCTTTCATTTTCAAAGTATTCTGGTTAGATGAAAAATTACATGATCACTCCAGAAGTGGTGCTTCATAAATAACTTATAATTTGACTCATTTTGAGTTGCAAAAGGGGAGGGGAAGTGAGACTAAATAGAGTTTGAAATTGTAGCCTGTACATTGTTTAGTTGTTCTTTTCATGTTCATCTGATACTTCGATGGATTTTTTTTTTTTCCCATGTGAAAGGGAATGAAGGGGGGGAAGAGAGAGAGAAGGGTGTTTTTGACAGGGTTTCCCCTGTTGTGATTTCCCCTACCGTAGCCAGCCAGCCAGGAACAGACGTGCACACCACCACATCCAGCCTGCCTAGGTTGGTCTGGGAACCCAGCCTAGCTCCCAGAGTGGCCCCAGCCTTGCATAGCAGCACCCTCAGCAACTGCTCCTGGGCTACATATTTTTTTTAATTAAATAGAAGAATTACTGTTGTTAGTAGAATATGGGTAAGAATTTTAATTTTGAATTTTTTTCTTAGTTTAAATAATCATCCTGCTAATGAAAGTAAATATAATATTTGAGATCATTAACTTTCTCTTTGGCTCACAGCTGTTTGTCCATTTTGTATTTCTGTATTTTCTCTAGTTTGTCTGACAGCAGGCTACATATGTAAAATTGGTGTTTTTTAATGATTTTATAAAAGAAATTAATTTGTTTGCACTTGTGTTGAAAAGACCCTGGTCAGGTTTAACTTTTATTCTGTAAGACATTGTGGTCTGGGGCATTTGATAGTGTTAAAGTAAGGGAAAATATATATTGAGTCATCGGAAAGGTCATGATGCATTTTTTTTCATAGAAAAACGCAGAAAAATACATCATGACTTTTTCGATGACCCAGTAAATAATTTGAGATTGCTTGGAAACTATTTAGAACTTTTTTTATAATCATCCTTTTGTTGGAACCTTGTTACCATTTACTGGTGCATGTAAAATTATTTTATGTTAATTCATTTTTAGGACCAAAATTTCGGTTTGTATAAATATTAGTTTTTGTGATTGCCTAGCCTAATTTTGGGAAATATAGCTGCTTATCACTGCAAACTAATGTGCTTACTAATTATTTTAATAATTATGAATGAATAGAAATTTTAAAAATTGCATGTCAAATTTTAATCTGAAAAATTGTGTTTAATTCTGTTTCTATACATAGTTGCTTTTTTTTAAAATTGCTTTGCTACAGTTTTTGAATATAGTTGCTTTCTTCTTTTGATTAATGTTAGAAGTTATCTGTTTGTGGCATTGGTGACTGGCCAACCAGGCAAGTGTAATGTGTAGTTAAACATGGTTACTCTCACTTTATTCTGAAGAAAATGTATGTTATTTGCTACCTAGTAAGTTTTACATAATAAATGAAGGTAATTGACATAATAAGAGTATTTGAAAAACCAAAAAGTATCTTTCCTCCAAGCAGTTAGAAAAGGCCTATTTGGGACTATATTCTTTCCATCCTATTTCCCCATCCACCTTCTCAAGCATATCACTATTTTGTTCTGTCTAAAGACCTGAGAGAATGTTAACTCACATTTTTTCCTTTTTAAACTCTATCCCAACGAGAGAGTATTGTCTTCTTACAAATTATATCCCAAGATTTGCCTTAAGACGTTAATTATATTATGAAATTTCTTACTCCATATATTCATTTACTGTCCCAAAAGTCACCATGTTGTCTTACCTGAAAAATAAATATTAAGTTTAGAGTAAATTTCATAATCAGACTGGCCCTGTATTGTGTCACTTAAGCTTTGTGTAGGAACTACATCCTACATGTTTGACTGGTTCAAATCCCAGCCCTGGTAGCTTTTGACAGACATGTGGGTGAGTGTGCCTGTGTCCAAAGTTCTGATGGGATGGAGATATGGAGGCAAAGGATTGTGGCATGTTCTGAGTCTAATGGGGGTGCTTCCTCTTTCTCCTGGTGAGTGCGTGTGTCCTCTGGCAATAAAGTAAATAAGGAGCCAGCACATGGTGTAGCACTTATGTTGCTGGACTCCCACATAGCTGACCATGGTTCAAGTCCCGAACCCAGTGACTTGAAAATCACACTGGACATGTGTGCGTGCGTGCCCTGGATCCTGAGGGGAAAAAAGGAAGAGAAGGGATTGCAGCATGGCCATCCACCCTAGGGGTGATTTCTCACTTTCCCTTTCACTGTGTCTCTGACTCTGGGGAGTGCACACACCTCATGGTAAAAACCTCTGGAAAAAAATATTTTATGGGTACAAAGAAGAAACTCCTGAACCTCTCAACCTGTCAGGTACTTTGTAGAGTAGCAGAGATGGTCTCCCTTTACCTCCATGGATGCTCCACTTCATCGTGGTAGCCTCAGAACATCTAGTTACCAAGGGCAGAAGCTGTTCCAAGGAAAACGAAGATCTTCTCCACTATTCATTTTCTAGTTCAGCTCTGTTCTTTTCTTCCTCTGGCAGTAATGATAACAGCAGTAGCTGGAGCAGTCTTGGTTTAGAAGGAGATTTGTATGAGGACAATTTATCCTTTCCAACATCAGACAGGTTGGTCCAGTCTAGAAACTTAAAAATTTATGAGTCTCTCACCACTAATGCATGACTTCATTCCTAAAAGAATGTGGGTTACAGTGGCAGTATGTATCAACCTGCTTTTCTCCTGTATTTTGACATGATTCTGCTTGATACATTTACATCTAATGAAAAAATTCAATTTCTAAATCAATGCTAAGATAAAACTGACATCTGATTGCAAAATGTGTTACTGTTATGCATGTGTTGCTTGCTGTTCATTCTATTATTTCATTTAAAAGAGCTTGCTTCCTACAGGATTTCTATTTTTTTTTTCCCTTGGCTTTTTGTTTTGTTTTGTTTTATTTTTGTATGTAGTTTCATCTCGTATATCAGAAAATATAGGAAAAATGTGTTTTTACTATTAAAAGTACATAAATAGTATCTGCAAAGCATTAATAAATACATTCATGACATTATATCATGTTCAAATGCTAAATTATCTAAAATCAAATTACTGGAGTATTTTAGCTTTAAATTATTTTTAAATTAAAAGTTTTATTATGAAATTCTTGGCTCTCTATATCATAGTTAGGTAGGACTTCTTGATTATGGATAACCTTAGGCATCATTTGCAAATCAGATTTTAACATGAAATGATGTGAGAAGCAAAGCTTCCTTTTTTATTGTCATTTCTCCCCTTTCTAAATGTCACATGTCATAATTGTAACATTCATTTCTTACCACACTTTTAATGATTGGTTTTAATAGTTATTAACTAAAACTTTGTTTTTTTAACTGCTTTTGCTATTTACCTGAGAAGCGATGGACCAGATGATAAAGATGAAGAGCATGAGGATGATGTACAAGGTGAGTGACAGTTTGCTTTTCCAGTGTTTCCACATTTCGGTGTAGGATTTTCTTGAAGAGTCTACTGTTTGTAAATGTGCATTTTTCATCAGCTAGGCCTTGGGCTATTTGTATAAATGATTACACATCTTGAGTATTTTTGAATAAGTTGTCTTTGTCCAATTTCCAGTACTTTGTTTTTATTTTGATTGCTACATTAATGAAAAACACATTGGCATATAGACTGAAACACCTTTAGAGAATTGCAGTTACTTGACAGAGAAATTTAAAGAGAGATTTTTTTGCTATAGGGCATGTGTGCTTGCCAGCAAGACAAACAGACAGAAAGCAAGAAATCATGCCCTAGGGAGAAAGACCGTGCCCTTTTCCTCCATTATCCTCCTTGGACCTCGGGCACGCATGCACACATTCCTGGCTTGAGTTTGAAGCCACTGTGTCTGGGACTCAAACTTTGGTCAGCCTGTGGGAGTCCTGCAACATAACTATTAAGTCTTCTACTGGTCTTGATAATGTAATTTTATAAATATAAATTTTAAGATTCTTACTTATAGCTTGTAAGTATGGTATATTATGACATAGTATTTTTCTTCCAAACTGTAACTTGTAGAATTAGTGTTTTCATGTCATAGTTATGCGAATAAGTAAAATCACAAAGCTATTTCCAAGTCAGTTCTGTCTTCACGCCAGTTCTGTCTTCACGCAATTTCAATCCTACATTCATGCGTACACATATCTGAATGTAGTTCCAAATATGTGAATACTAGGTATCAGTGGACACAGAATTTTGGACCACAGCTTGTGATTATTAAGTCATATAACTAGAACATCTGAGTGAATCTAAAAATGTTTCATATTGGGACCAGCAGTTAGCATAGTGGTTATGTTGCTAAACTCTCATGTAGTTGACTGTGGTTCAAGTCCCAGACCCGGTGGCTTAAACTCACGCCGGACATGTGTGTGTATGTGCCTAGGATCCCAAGAGGAGAATGGAGGGGAAGGGATTGCGGTGTGGCCATCCCTCTGTAGGGAGTGATTTCTCACTTTCTGTCTCTCTGTCTTTCTTGTCTTCTGGCAAGTGCATGTACCCTATAGCAAAAACCTCTCCAAAAAAAAAAAGTGTTTTATACTGAACTGTGTTTTCAAATGGTGGTTGAGTTTTTGGCCCCAAATCTTGTTTTCCTTAATTATGAAAACATCAGTGATGTCTTAAATAAAGTGCCACATGTTAATAAAAATATTTATACTTTTTGAGATAGTTGCTTTTGAATTGGTGATTTTTTTTGTTATTTTTCTGCTTATAAGTAGGAAAACTGAGAAATTACTAAAAAGAATTTCTTAAAATGTACTTTATGACACCCAAATCTCAACTTTTATCACCAATTGTATTTTCTTGTAATGTATCAATTTTTAGTCTAAAATCCTCACTTAAAATTATTGTTGTTTAATTTTTATTTCTCTGTAAGTATCCATTTTTCACATAAACTTACGAAACTGCTTATAAGTAGGAAAACTGAGAAATTACTAAAAAGAATTTCTTAAAATGTACTTTATGACACCCAAATCTCAACTTTTATCACCAATTGTATTTTCTTGTAATGTATCAATTTTTAGTCTAAAATCCTCACTTAAAATTATTGTTGTTTAATTTTTATTTCTCTGTAAGTATCCATTTTTCACATAAACTTACGAAAGTAAGTTTTTATTAGCAGATATACTCAAAGTTGGGGTAGAGCAGTATATTAAAGATAATTTTTTAAAACTCGCCAGAGGGCACCTGTGTTTATCAGAGAGAGACAGAAAAAGAAAGGAGGAGAAAGCACCCCCTAATGATGCATGGTTGCACCGTAGTCCATTTTTCTTCATTCCTCCATCCTGTTGATAGGATGTTGGACATGCATACCATGCACCCTACTTGTTTTTCAAGCCTCTGGGGTTCGATTGAAACCATGGTAGGCTGTGTGGAATCCAGCTCCCTTAACTGCTAGGCTACGTGGCTGGCCCTAGAGTCATTTCTTTTGGCTAGGTAATATTTGTTTTATTTTTGTTCACTAAAAATGTGACTTGGAACCAGCAGATGGCATAATGGTTATGTTGCTACACTCTCACATGACTGACCATGGTTTGAGTCCCAGACCCAGCACCTTAAAACTCACACCATGGGGACCAGCAGTTGGTGTAATGGCTTTGTTGCAGGACTCCCATGTGGTTAACCGTGGTTCAAGTCCCAGACCTGGTGGATTAAATTCACGCTGGGCACGTGTGCATGCGTGCCCAAGATCCCAAGAGAAGAATGGAAGAGAAGGGATTGTGGGGTGGGCATCCACCCTGGGGGGTGATTTTTCACTTTCTGTCTGTCTTTCTGGTGAGCACACGAGCCCTATAGCAAAAACCTCTCAAAAAAAAAGAAAAATAAAAAAACAAAAAACAAAAAACCTCACACCATGTGCATGTTGGTGCA